CTGCTCCAACCACAGCTGATCAAACAACGCAGGCACCAACCACCTCTGCTCCAACCACTGGTGCTCCAACCACGTTGGCAGCAACAACAGCTGATGCAACCACCCAGGTTCCAACCACAGATGATCCAACCACGGAGGCACCAACCACATCTGCTCCAACCACGCAGGCACCAACCACATCTGCTCCAACCACAGCTGCTCCAACCACAGCTGCTCCAACCACGAAGGTTCCAACAACAGTTGAATCAACGACCCAGGCACCAACCACAGCTGCTCCATCAACTGGTGCTCCAACCACGCTGGCACCAACCACAGGTGATGCAACGACGCAGGCACCAACAACGGCTGATCAAACCACGCAGGTACCAACTACAGCTGCTCYAACCACTGCTGCTCTAACCACATCTGATGCAACGACCCAGGCACCAACCAMAGATGCTCCAACCACGCAGGATCCAACCACAGCTGATCCAACCACATCTGCTCCAACCACCTCTGCTCCAATCACGTTGGCACCAACAACAGCKGATGCAACCACCCAGGTTCCAACCACAGCTGATCCAACCACGCAGGCCCCAACCACATCCGCTGCCACCACGCAGGCACCAACCACATCTGCCCCAACCACAGCTGATCCAACCACAGCTGCTCCAACCACGCAGGCACCAACCACAGCCGATGCAACCACCCAGGTTCCAACCACAGCTGCTCCATCTACTGGTGCTCCAAGCACGCTGGCACCAACCACAGCTGATGCAACCACTCAGGTTCCAACCACAGCTGCTCCATCCACTGTTGCTCCAACCACAGCTGATGCAACCACAGCTGCTCCAACGACATCTGCTCCTACCACGCAGGTACCAGCCACAGCTGATCCAACCACAGCTGCTCCAACCACGCAGGCACCAACCACACCTGCTTTAACCACGCAGGTACCAACCACAACTGATTCGAGCACAGCTGCCCTAACCACGCTGGCACCAACCACAGCTGCTCCAACCACGCGGATTCCAACCACAGCTGCTCCAACTACGCAGGAAACAATCACGTTGCGCCCTTCAACCAGTAAGTGTGGTATTTTTAATATGATGTTTGAAGTAGCTGGTCCTTATTATTGCAAATGGAAAGAGCATGGAAGCAGGTCGAAAGTTCATCTGAACAAATATTCATTTTACACTTTTATATTTGCTACTATACATATCAAATCAATAGAATATTTCTGCATTATGTATAAAGTTTATAAATTTAATGCGTGAAGAAAGTTTATTCCACGCATCTTTACTTAACAATAATATTGTCCTAAGCGTTGGATATGCATTACCCAACATCTGAGGAAAATTGTTATGCGCGAAGATACTCACTGCGCATCATTTATGGATGACATGGGTGGCGTAGTGGTTTACCTCTCGCCTCTCACCACTGTGGTCCGGGTTCAAGCCCTGGCTCAGACTGGATCATATGTGAGTTGAGTTTGTTTGTTGTGTTGTTCTCTCCCTTGCCAAGAGGGTTTTCTCCGGGATCTCCGGTTTCCTCCCTCCCCAAAAAGCAACATGTGAGTTGAGTGCTGTATGTTGTAAATATAGAATGTAGTGGTAGTGCGTGTGGAGGGAACCTCACGGAAGAGCCCCGCATGGGAAGTGGTGGTTGTAAAATATAATTTGTTAATTTATATATTTTTTATGTAATCGTTAAGTTAAGCCTTGTCCCACAACGCTATTTACCTCATGCATAAATATTTAGTAAATATTTATGAAAACATAAAATATCTTGTAAAGTAGGTAAATTGCTTCATTTCGCGTTATTTACGTGTACGTAAAACCACTATGTAAAATCCTTTCTACCAAAAGATTGCGGATTTATCTACCTATTTCAACTCGCGTATCAAATAAATTTCGGTCAGTAAAGAACCGGCGCTTTCACCTACAGCCAAAATTCGACAGCTAGGTTAAAATGTCTCGTTTTAATGGCTATAATTATTATATGATATAATCAATTTAATTCTGGTTATGTTAAAGAATATGTTTGTTTATTATAAACAATCTCTTTTTGAGTTGTTTAACAAATTCAAGTTATTAAGGATGCGATTTGTAAAACCTCAAGTTAATTGTTTATGATATCCAATATTATCATGGTTAGAATAACCATATTTTATAACAATAAATACGGTTATTTCAACCATATGCATTAAAAAAACTGGTTCTATCAGTTGCATAAATTCAGGTTAAACAACGTTTTCTAGTTGTTTTAACCAGGCAGTTTTAAGTAATATTTCAAAGCAATATTTCGACAATGAGGACTGGACGGGATTTGAAGTCTAAGCAATAAGCGAGGCTGGAACTAATCGCAAGGACTTGAAATCCTGTCCAGTACGATATTGGAGGCTTTGAAATGACTTCTCATGCTCATTAATTATTCGACTTGAAGTAACTGGAACAAAATTAATTCAGTCCTAGGACTGAATTAATTTTGTTCCAGTTACTCCAGACTGAATGCATTCTTTTCACAGGACTTTACCAGGTTTCAAGTAACATCATGTGACCCAAAAATTGATTGGCTGGTTTACTCATTACTCATGAATTATTAATGAGTATGAGAACAATGCTTATCTTTATGACCTTTGTGTCTTAGCAGCACCGTCAGAAGATCCTCTCATGTATCCCTATGGTCTGGAGGCATCAGATACAAAGTATAACTGGAAACAATGGTACTGGAGGTGCCCTCGAGTTGATTTTGATTTTGGTGGACTTCCTTTTTTTGGAAGAAAACATTATCATATTCACGTGAGTGTAAAACGGGATCTTAAATTACTGTAAATATAAACAAATTATCATTTTTTTAAACCATTAATTAATGTAAATATCTAGTTTGACATCATGTCACAATGTTTTTTTTCTTCTTAAACATGCATAAATTACCAAAAGAGAAAGTCTGATTCCTTAATGAGCCCCACGGCTTCATATCTGTCTTCCTTGCCATTATCATAGATATCATTATATATTTTGTATATAATGAATATCTAATGGCAAATAAACTTTTATACTGTTATACTGTTAAACGTATACGGCGCTTGTAAAACCAAATATCAGTACCTAGCACTTAACACCCGTAAACTATTTAATCTTATCAAGCCCTGAAATAACCTCTGGGCTGATCAAAGACAAGGCACGACTAACACAGATCGAACCCTGAACAACCACTGGGCTGATCTACGCATGACCCCGGAGGTGCGGGGCGAGCGCACTAGTTCTACACCACAATTGATTCCCATTACATTTTCTTTAAACCCATCCTTATTCGGTTATCAGTTTAATATATTTTAGTCTTTGTTAATAATAGGTCTGCCCAAATGGTTTGATGTCTTTCGATTCGTCCTGGTACCGAAGGTGGCCGTACAATTTTGGTCAGTACTACTGGTTCGATAGGTACGCTATGCTTGCACCTTACTGGGGTTTAACCGATGTTTATGACTCCTTTGCTAACGACATATCTCAGATGTACTACCACGTATACCGAGAATATGACGGAAATCCATCAACAGAGAGTATTTTGAAGAGGGCTGCAGTTGATGTGAACAAGCACACCAGGAACAATCCCTTGCCAACAGAGTTTACTAAGGCTACTTATGTATTGGTGGTCACGTGGGTTAGTTTACGTCACTGGTATTCAGGAAGGAGAAAGGTTATGCAAAACAAGGTGAGTGAATGAGAGAGGGAGAGGAAGGACGGGTGGATGGATGGATGAATGGATGGACGGACGGACGGACGGACGGACGGACGGACAGAGGGAGGGAGGGAGATAGAAACAGGGAAGAAGGAAGGAATCGAAATATAAAAGGATTATAATGAAACTCGAATAGCAATTGAAAAGGTTCTATTGCCTTAATGATGACAACCTAAAGAAAAAGTCGAAGAAAAAAAAACAAAAAAAACACGAAGAGCTTTGAAAGGCATTGACCATAAAGTATAAGGCACATCAATGATATCAATTGGCAGGCAATGAAAGCACCAAACGCAATTAATGATTCATATCTATAATGCTGGATCTTAGATATTTCATAGGGCATTGCTCTTGACATTTGGAACTGATCCGAGGCATGCATTTAACATGAATGAGAAGTAATCATGATAGATACCTTGAATCGAATCCACAGTTCAACACATTCCAAGCAGTCCTCATAACAGATGGTGTGTTCTCGTTCGTTCTGTACAACTATCCTCAAAACGGTATCCAGTGGTCTGCTCCTGATGAAACGTAAGGAAATGCTATAAGAATAAGGGAAAGTAGGAAATATTTCATTATTCAATAGTTCCCTTCACAGTTCTCTGTGCCATCTTAAAAGGTAATCATACCTGGGCTTTGATGCAAGGACAGAGGCCTTCTCATGATAGATCGATCCTTTTTGACAATCTTGAGAAATTATTCACATGTCTCTATCACTATAAGATAGATGGTATAATTGCATAAGTGTTTTCTAAGTTATTCATATCCACGATGGATATTTTTTTATATTCTACATGGTTGTTGTTTGTTAAATGTGCGGTGGTAAATGGACAACAGCGTCAAGAAACTTGCCATGCACGCGCTATTATTGTATTGCAATTTGGCGCGCAAAATTAATTTATTAATCAATCAAAGTAAGGCGCATTACCGATTACGATTAATTAATTAATTAATTAATTAGCGATGGCTTACTGACACGTTTTTTTCTTTAGTCGATATTATTATCGATACTGGTATGACCGAGCGCTTCCAGTGGTTGGGATCAACGCGGGAGACATCAATAGAAACTATTACAATCATCCACGGTAAGCTAGTATATTTGAAAATGGGTTTAAAATCAGAAAAAATGGGGCTAGTGGAGAATACCAAACTAGGAATAGAGGTTTTGCACCATCACGTGCAGGCGCCTATAATAATGCTTGTGCTTCCTGTGGTTAGATGGCAGAAAAATAAAATCCCTTTGCTCTTGTTAATTTAATTCTTTCTCATGTAAAACGCCTGTATTGTTCCTGCAATCTAACATGGCTGGCGTCATGCGGTGGAGCAAAACCTCTATAGGATGAACAATTATAAAGCCCTGTTCAAGATTTGTCGTGATGTACCCCGAAGCAAGTGTTGCCTATAAAAGCAGTAGACCCCTTACAGCAAGTTGGAATGCAGCTCAATTTGCATTAGAGGGCATGACAATAGGTTTCAAATTCTCGTGAGATTGAAATTCTTTTGTTCTGTCCTCCAAATTGATCATTTTCGAGTTCAAAATTACCGCTGTGTTCCTTGATTACAGACTCACTTACACAGGGTTAGCCTCGTATCAGTGTGCAAATACCAACAGTAAAGTAAAGAATGCACAACTTCAAAAATACAAGGGGACTATTCTTCTGTTCATGAATTTTCATCTAATATACTATCAATTTCGATTTTCTAGCTCTGGCAGAGTCCCCATCGTAGACATTGATCAAATAGAAGGGTTAAATGCCATTAAATCTTTTGGCGACTTGAACTTTCGACAAACCTTGAATGGCATTCGTGGCAGACTGTTTATCCGCCTGGAAGACTCACCTGGAAGGTTAGATGCCATGATTGAATGTGCCAAGTGGTACGTAAAAGATAATTGGGAGTTGAGWTCTCGAGGTTTGCAGSYYTATCTCAACACGCTGGAAGCCTGTCCTTGTACGTATTGGCAGGCTTGGAGAGACAGGAGATTTAGGTATGAGTCAGGACGATGGCCAGTCTACTGCTTTGTCTCAAGGTTCCCTTCTGTGTTCGGATGGGGACAGAAGTGCTGTTACGAGTTCATTAGAACAACAGGATGGTGGTGGGGATGGTGGTGGTGGTTTCCTCTGTTAACAAGTGGATTTCCTAATGGCGGCAATGCTCAAAGGTAAGTAAACACAGTTGAGTCTTTTCGGCGCTACCCATCACGTGGTACAAATATAATGGTATTGCATTGTGTTTGGTCACCAAGAGGTTTTGACATCGTTCACRGATTTGCGTACGAATGTACTGAATTTTAAACAAATTATTTACCATTTAGTCACCATTTATACCACGTGATGGCTAGCGCCAAAAAGATGAATTAGGTAATATAAATGCGGTCTTCTCTCATCTCTGAGGTCCCGTGTTCCATTCCTGGACTTGTCATCACATGTGAGTAGAGTTTGTAAGGTCTCTCCTTAATTGATTTAAGGGTTTTTCTCTAACATGTAGAGCTCCATGGCCAATTTTATCAGTAAATTAGCCGTGCCCTTACTTGGTTTATTCATGGAATCGTTGAAATTTGAAGGACTTTTTTGAAGCAAATGAAGCCTTTGTCGTAGAAAACCTTTTTAAAAGTAAATAAATAAATACGATTTAGCAGTGGGATGAAAAACCGGATATCAGAGAACTCTAAGAAAAGGCCTCGAAGCAAAGGAGAGAACCAACAAGCAACTCTACTCACACATGACACCGAGCCCCACGGGACTCGAACCCCGGTCACATTGGTGCACGCGAGAGGCAAGCGCTAATGAATCCACTCATATTATATTTTTAGGCACCACCAACATTGGGATCGATACAACTGGGTACAGAACGACTACAAAGCGTACCAACAATGTTGTGTCTATAGCAACCTGTGTTGGATGTATCAAGAACGACGTCCATCTGACACATGTGCACGATACGTCCCTCCGAGAATGAGTAAGTTAACATAACTAGATTGATTAGATTCTGAGGTTGAGGGGGGAAATGGGTCGATTTGGCATTCCAGTGCATTGTGGGACTGTTTGAGAGGACATATTTACAAGATGGCCCAGGGGCGGATTCAGGAATTTTAGAAGGGGGTGACTGTTACAAAGGATTTTACCAGGAATTCAAGGACGCCTGCACATTCCCCTGAAGATGCATTCACGTTACATCTCATGCCGGTGTAAATCAATAAATAACATAATTTAAGATTCTTTTACGATTTTTAAACTTACAGCGTGGTTTTGGGGCGATCCTCACTTCGTCACACTGGACAGCAAGAACTACACGTTCAACGGTCTTGGAGAGTACGTCATGCTGGATGCAAAAGATGGTTACTTTCAGATACAAGCCCGAACGAGACTTGCTAAAGGAAAGGGTACTGCTACCGTGTTTAGTGGAGCTGTAGCCAAAGAGAACAATTCCACAACTGTTCAAGTTACCTTGCCGTATGATAATGGTAAGATAGATTGAATAAGTTCAAGTTTTAATTTATGCTCCCGGCCCTTCACGTATTCTGGGCGCATTTTTATACATTTTTTTTGTTGCAAAAAACAGTGCTTGCTTTTACTTTTGGAGCAGAGAGGATTTGTCACGCACAGTATGAAGCAGCATGCAACTCTAATTTCCATAAGGTAACGGTTGTTGCGTGACAAGTTGTGCAATTCTGTCACGTATTCTACCAGGCCTTAATTCATCAAATTTGGACGCGCTTGCAAATTTTATAATTACTGAAAAGCACTACTCTTGACTAGTCTAATTTATGCCTACTTAATTTGCTTAACAAAGGAGAATTGACCTATGATTCCATTTATTCACTTATTCAAAGAAACAATGGAAGTTCTCGTAGATGGAAAACCTTTTGATTTCAAAAGCCTGACCAACGAATCTATTGATCTCAATAACGGTTCTGTTACGGTCTCCAAGCCTGAGAAACAATGCTTCGAGATGACTTTCCCTTCAGGAATGTCGGTAACAATATGCGAAAAACAGAACATACTTTCCATCGTCACTGCTGCTCCAGAGTCATTCAAGAACAAGACAAAAGGTCTTCTTGGAACATGGAATGGAAATCCCGAGGATGATTTTACTCTACCTAATGGAACTGTACTGCCACACGATATGAATGGCAGTGATATTCACTATAAGTTTGGATTGCCATGTAAGTTTTGTATAATATATTTTAAAAACATTAATGGAAATGAACTGAGAAAACAGAATAATTACTTTTCTCCATGATTCTCCAGATCTAGAGAGCTATTTRTCGGGTCTTCGTCATTTTCTACAAAACTAAACAAAAGATATTGTATGTTTTAGGGCAAGTCAACTCCACTACCTCATTATTTACCTACAAGCCAGGCGAAAACTTCTCCACATTCGTCAACTCATCGTTCAAACCGATGTTCATTGAAGACATCAAYTGGGCGAACGATTCTCTCAGACTGCAGGCAGAAGCGGCTTGCAACGGTGATATTAGCTGTCTGTTTGATATAGCTTCAACGGGAGACTTGTCTGTTGGTTTAAGTACACGACAGATAGGATCACAGTTTGTGAATGACTCTAATAGACTGAGTAAGTAAGAATAGTATTATTGAATAGATTTTAGCCGAGAAGCTAGTAACGTAGGGAGAGAAGCAAGAGAGTAAAGTTTATATGGATGGAGATAGTGTGGATTTGGCGGGAATTTTTTGCGCCAAAACGCGTGCGCTCAAGTCCAAACACGGACCCTCTCTTCGTGTTCAGTTTCAAGATAATTTGGGGATGGGCGAAAGGAATCAGTTACTCACAATAATAGTTACTCACAATTTGTCCCTCTCTGTGGTACCGAAATCTGATTGGGACCATGGACTATGGAGCTAGCTAGTTCATGCTCGAGTCGAGTCCAACCGAACTGAGACTCCCTGGGACCCAAAATCAGAAAGAGTCTTTTTATGGAGGTTTACATTACTGGTGATTGTTTCTACAGGTAATGAAGCACCCAAATTCTCAAACAGTTCTTCAGAGATCTACTTAAATATCAATAAAACAGTTACCGTTTTGATCAATGCCACTGATGATGATGGTGATGATATTACATTCAATGTGAGCGGTCTTCCTGATGGCACTAACCAGAAAATCTATCCAACGTCTGTGTCGCTGAAATGGAAAGTGACCATGGAAAAGGTTATTATTGGATATAGATTATATTTGTGATATATTAAACTATTTAACTTACATCGAAGCTGCAGGTAAAATTGTCAAAAGATGAAGCAGTGTTTCAAAAAGTATAGTTTCTATTCCTGTTGTCTTGAAGGATTATCCGTAAAAATAAGCTCGTCAACAGATTTGTTCT